TCGATAACCCTGTGTAGACGCGCGGCCTACCATTACGCCTGCGTCACTGTAGTCTCTACAAGGAGGCACTAGCTTGGACGCATTCCAGCATATTGCAAACAAGTTACAACGCTTTCTAGATAATCATTCCGAAATGCACCCCTAAAATGAATTTCCAATATTATATTACATACATTTATTGTAATATTAACAGTTTTGAATAAACACAACGCGATGTTCTAATCTAAATAATGTACATATGATAAGTACTCTTGTGTTGCGTCGGAACGCTTTACATTCCGTTGCACAGATGGCAGCACTGAAAATATTTGACATTCCGCGAATTCCAACAGCAGTGGGCTCGGCTCAAATGTCAAACGCGACTATTTCGTCAACAGAGTCGTGGCGCGCTAGTTGGATTTTATAAAATAATAACAATTATTACTACAGTTTAGATGAAGGAAAATGGATACTAAGCGGTAAAACTCGGTGCATTACTTTACACAGTATAAATTATTGTTACGAGTCGTGTCTTTAAGATAGAATATTAAGTCGCGTAGTTTTTGCGAATCGTTTCATATTGATTTTTATACTTCGCCGGTTTTGTAACATTGTTTTAAGTTAAATTTTTATCTTAACAAAGTATTATAACGTCTATTATACCAACTTTGTGTTACATATATGTTTGTTATTGCTAAGTGATAAATCTTAAAAACTTTCGGTCCTGCATTGTGTCGTAACGTGTGAAAAAACGTAAGTATTAATTGTTATATTATTTATCTAATCCCTACTGTACTTAGCATTATTTCATTTCATAAAAAAAGCTAACATCATTTCTATATTATCATTTCCTTTGCTTGAAGCCAATAGGTAAGTACTTAGGTAAGTTCTAAGAGAATTTACTGTTTTTATTGTGTATTTTGAAAACCTGAACCAACTCAATAGCAGAAACAATCGAGAGTATCAAATAAGTTGATATCGAAATAAGTACAAGTAAGTACGTACCTACCGGTTTGATTTACGAACACGCCACGCAAAAAATCCGCCGCTACTCGGCGCGGGGCATTCAGTGAGCATAGCAAGGAATCTCGCGAACATAATGGCGTGGAATGCGACTGATACGCGCCTATAAACATTTTGTTTCCACACTCATGGCCCCGATGATAACAACTCGATAATACACGTCCGATTAACCAATGTGACCCGCACGTTGATCGCTTGAGTAGACTTTACGAAGATATAGGTAAGAATCGATTTCAAAATCGCAATATAAATATAAAATAATAATGATATATAATGTACTAAACAGATACATATAATTTAAAACTGACAAGGTCACATAAATTTTATCTAAGAAAAACTTAGATTTAATTGTAATAAAATGCATAATATATATGATGATTACCTTAAAAACTATATAACGAGGTAACTAAACTTCGTTTTTTATTATACGTTATATAGATAGGTACGTTGTTACAAAGATTGTAAAAATTAAAATCCAGCTCCATCACGTATCACTCAATGTGCTGCCATCGATAACATCAAGTAAGCACATCAAAATTATCATTAATTTTATGGATGTGACATTGCATTGCATTCCATGCTAATAATATAATCAGTCTGTTACATCCTTGGCATGTTGTATACGAATAATAAGTACAATAATAATAATAAATGAAAAATATTTAAAGTTTTCACATGATCAAAAACTGAGAGCTTACATTGTTACGTTAAAACTAAACATCGCATATTGTCAGATTCTATAATAGTTTTTGAAACGATGTCGGGCTTTACTTATGTTCGGAACATCTGCCAGTTCCCGACCCTCTAAAGACACGTGCGCGTGCGCACAGCAGGGGTGGCAACCGTCGTAAAAGACAGGCACCGCACCCCAAATGCGGGCATTCCAATGTAACGATAAATTTCAAATTTAGACTCTATTACATAGAGAAAAGGTGCAACATAGCGTAAAAACTATTAGTATTAAAATAGATTATTATTTTTACCGAACGGAATGTCAAGGTTCGATCACCATGTGAATCTCTTTTTGGAACTTTCAGGTGACAGTTGTCCTACCTTAAACTATATTTTTATTAACTTATTAGTTTATAGTTATTACAAATTCCATGTTGTCGACATCTTAAAAGTACCAAAAAGTTTCTGGTTTTTATCATTCATTTTATATGACTGAGTTTTTAAATAAAACAATTTTGAAGTTAATGTGTGTAATTATTACATTTATTTAATTTTAAAGACCTTATAAAAAATGGAGATGATCTTTGTTGTGTTATCTCGATAGCTATATATATATATATATATATATATATATATATATATATATATATATATATATATATAAACTAACTTAACATTTTATTATCGTTTGTAAGCTACTTTCTAGACATTAATGACAAGAAGTTGTCATTAAAGTCTCCGCAATATCTAATTAGAGTATCATTAAACACATATCAACTTTATTTCTAGGGGATAAAATGATCATAACTTTTTTAGTATTCTGATTAATAATGGATTATTAAGCGTAAATGCATTTAGGTTTTAATAAAATAAAAAATAATTCAAATTCTCTTTGTGTATTATATGACAAAGTAACAATAAATAAATTTAAGCAGAGGGCATTGAATGAACTTTGACATGGTATTTAACTTAAACTTGCCAAAAACTTATTACTTGAAAATATTATACCTATAAGAAATATGCTTATATTAGTACTTTCATTACTACAAATAAAAGTAAACTTCTCTTTATAATACACAAGCGACTCACCTTCGCTTCGTTCGGGTTCGTCCCTAGCTTGCTTCCCAAAGCAAAATTTCATCCCCATTTTCACCCCCTGAAGAGATGAATTTCGGGATAAAAAGTATCCTATGTCCTTCCCGGGGTCTCAAACTATCTTCTTACCAAATTTCATCTAAATAGGTTCAGTAGATCCAGAGATTACCCCCTACAACCTCACAAACTTACAAACTTTATCTTTACACCTCCAGGTAAATTTCTAGGAAATTGATTAAAATTCTAAGAAATCTATTGTTAACTGACACGCCGGCGTGTCCGTAGTCGTGGAGGGATTAAAATATTAGTATAGATGATAAATATTATGATCGAAATAATATTTTTGCGTCATTACTTAGATTATTTCCACAAGTAACAGATTTTTTGAAGTATCTAACTTATACAAACATTATGCGATACATAATAACTAGTTCCTGTTCCGTTGAACGGCTTCGTGATCATATAAGTACAGATAGTAATAAAACAATTCTTTTATAATATATTTAAGTACGTATAATTTAATATAAGGCAATGAAATTCCGATACAAAAAATAACCATGTGGTTATTTTCGATTCAGTACTGTAGCAAAACTAAATTTGGTCGTAATTTTATAGGAATTTTTAATGTAAACAGTAAAACGTGTGCTGCCCTTTTTTGTGTGTAACGCTTGCAGGAAATCTCAAACTGCGTGATTGAGAGTCATAAAACTTCTAAATATGTAAGTGTTTTTTGTTAACCGTACGTACATGCCCGGTGATCTATTCCGACGTACTGGCTGGCATACCACGCGGCCGTACCTACGCGTGACTCCGCCTCCGAGAAAAATTCTATTGTGGTTAATGTACCAAATTCCTCATCATTAACGTAGTCATCGCACTATCACTCTAACACTTTTTGTTCGGCTTATTTCATCCGCGGACAACGATCTCCACTTTTGAAAGCACAAACGTTCACATACCAGGAATCACGTCATTTATTACATTCATTAAAACTCATTGGCGCTTTATTTATAAAATTATGTTGGATATGCATATGGTACTTTTGATATTCTTATGTACTTGGGCATACAATAATTACCGTTTGTCGAAGAAAAATCTTATTAAATATCACAGCTACAACAAGATATGTATTAAAACAAATGCAGTAGGTACTTTAAAATTACGGCGTTTATAACAATTATCCTGTAGTTTTAGTTCGCATTCCACAGCATAAATAGTAACAATAAACGAGAAACTTATCGGAATATTTTCCATTGCGATTACTGATGAATTTCGACCTCTCATTACTAAATCGCATCACATATATGTTAGCTATTAAACTATTTGTGTCAGTTTAATCAAATCATAATGTCACATTTTCAACTGGCACTGCTCGATCTGCGATAGTGGTCCATTGGCTGCGTTCCCGTGGGGACGGTATGCGTATGTTTCACAACACTGTATGATCATCTTATTTACTTGATAGGCGCTTAGCACGGACGTCTGTCCTCCGTCTAGCCGTTTACGTACCGTGGAATTTTCGCCTCGGTATTTGCATGCCATTTTATGTATTAACACAACGACATTCATTCTGTGAGCCAAATATTTTTACGTACTCAGACGTAGATTGTTTCCGCTTTAAATGCGAGATTAATATTATGTTATTTGTTCTGTTTACATGTAAAAATATTGATTTTATCGATTAATTTTTAACCCCCGCTGCAAAAAGAGCGGTGTTATAAGTTTGACGTCGATATCTGTCAGTCTGTCTGTCTGTCTCTGTGAATGTGTGTCTGTGTGTCGGTTGGACCGACTTCGATGCGGTTTTTCATTTGAAAGCAAGTTTTTGCGGTAGTTCTTAGATATGTTTGGTTAATATCGGTCCAGCAGTGTAAGAGTATCAGCTCTTTTCCAAAATGATGTAAGGCATTTTGGAGTATGATTACTCGATTAGGTGCTTCACGCGTGCCAGTGTAATCATTAAATGACAATTAATTTGCGTAGGGGGGTTTTATAAAAAAAATATTATTATTATTAAATGATGATATCTTGATTTAAGTTTAACAATATTATGAAATCATTTTAGCATCAATACTCGTATTCGCTTTCTATATTGTTTTTAATGAATTAATTTATTTTTATGGCGTATTTCATATTACAATAATTTAAAAGCAATATTCTTTAATTATAAATAATAGTTATCTATTGGTTTTTAATTATAAATAATAGTTATCTATTGGTTATCAGGCAAAATGAAGAAGATAGAGTCGCCACTAGATGTGCTATCACGGGCCGCTACAATGGTGCAGCCGTGCCCAGCCTACCCCGCCAGCGATTCAGATAGCTTTGGTAAGACAATATTATACAAACTGTTATAAATAATTGTCCATTTCATTTAGTTTGATACTTTAGTATTTTCTACTTTGTTTTCATTTTTTATCCGTTGTGTAAAGAAATATCCATATGTCGTTAACAAGTAGGTACTATATGTAAATAGTTTCCTAAAAATCTTTGTAAAAATCTTTAAACGTGCAATTCTTGTATATTTTTTTATTTATACCAGCAATCTCGGAAACGGCTCTAACGATTTCGCTGAAATTTGTTATGTGCAGGTTTTCAGGGGCGAAAAATCGATCTAGATTAGTCTTATATCTGGGAAAACGCGTTTTTTCATGTTTTCATGCGGTTTTCTTTCGCATTATTCCACACATAAGCATTGTGGTCCAGCGACCAAGACGGCCATTAGCAACCACAGGTGTCCGAGTTCGAATCCCAGTCGGATACAAAGTTTTTACTTTTGTTTTATCTAAAACATACGGTATAAGAAAAAAGTACTCCGAGCGAAGCACGGTCGCCCAGGTATTTTATTTAACTTGACTAAGGTAATATATTCGTTATTCATATAAGTAATAAGTATCTAGTTTTACCTTAAGTATATTTGTAATTTAATGATATAAAATGTTTAATTAAATAAAATGATCATCTTATATCCATATCTAGTTATCTACTAATATTATAAATGTGAAAGTGAGTTTGTTTGTTTGTCTTTCTTTCACGTCGAAACGGAGTGACGGATTGGCGTGATTTTTTATGTGGAGATTGTTGGAGGGCTGGAGAGTGACATAAGCTACTTTTTACTGCAGGAGATTATCTAAATCCCACAGGAAAACACGTTATAATACAATCCAGAAAAATATTTATGATCAGAATTACTTGAAACTTGGTATTAATGCTCTTCAATAAAATTAAATAAATACGTGTTTTTGAATTTTTCGAAATTCATCCTTTAAGGGGGTTAAATAGCGGATGAAAGTATGTAGGTATGAAACCTACCATTCTTTTTTGTAGTTTTAGCGCGAGCGAAGCCGCGGGTTCTGCTAGTCTTATATAATTACTAATATAATATCATATACCTACGTTTTCCAAAATCTGAAATATCATACGTTGATACAATATCTGCCCACATGGCTGATGTAACCCGACACAAAGGGCCGCAATTTTAAAATATGGATCAAACGCGCTCATCTTGTTTACTGAGTCGTGTTTCACTTATTTCAGTAGTGCGTGCTGTTCTTTAACCTTCGAATAATAAAAGGAACAAATACTATTGTAATATTTTACCTGGTCTTTTTATGTCTTTGTACATAAAACTGACTTGTTTCTATGTAGGTACTATTTAAAATATTTTGAAAATTAATAAAATGATGGCAATTTGGACGAATGCTTGTGCTTATTATGAAAGAATGTGGCCTCTTAATACGTAAAATATTCAATTAATGCAAGTTAAACATTAAATTATTGAAAAGTAAATTTAAAAGTAAGCTATATTCGATTCTAATATGAATCTAAACGAGTCTAAATGTAAATTACTCTACTATTAAGCCAGAATCAATGACTTCATAAATGCTTATATAGACACGTCATTTAGATAAAATGGAATAGAAAATACTTAATAGCAATGCACATTTGAAGATGAAGATTTTTTTCATATATCGATTAATGTCCAAAACGTTTGTTATAAAATATATGTATTTTATGAATGAAACATAGGACTTTAAAACCATTTTCTTATTTGGCTTCTATAGCTAGTCTATCAATACTCGACGCGCGGCCTTGTAGGCGGGTCACATTCCAGATTCCAGCTGACATTGTTGATCGTCAGTCGTCTAAGGGTTTGGATACATGAAGTTCGTTAGATATGGAAAAATAGATTTAAAATGTGTAAAGTGTAATTCTTAAAATTATTTTAAAAAGTTTATAAAGGAATTAATTCCATGTCCGTTTCCACTTTCCAATAATCTCGGATCATTACATTATTTGATTTCATAATAGCAATTGATAAATATACTAAAATACCGGCAACCTCCTAACTCCGGGCTACTACTAAGGCTGTCTTAACAGAAGAACTAATTAATGACCACTGGATTTGCAGCCGTACATGTTAGCCACTAGACCACCGAGGCCGCTTACTTCTTAGATATTATATACCTAATCATGCCAATGACCATATAAAATTCGGAAAGATACAAACAGACTTTTTAATTTTTAATTACTTAAGTATTATATAAAATATTCATGATATGTTCTCATCCTAATCGTAGTGCCCACAAATAAGAATTTGTAGTTATTTGTACGAGTATATTATGCGATTGATATCTTATTGTTGTCTTTAAATGTTTTCAACATTCCAACCGTGACTTGCATAAATTAGAATATCCTTGTACGCGAGCATATAGACTTGACTAACAGGAGAACTAACGTGTTTTACCTCGACTGAAACAATAGATAAAACCTAGCACAGATTAATTCTGTAACAGAGAGATTGCTATTGTATTAGTTTTTTTCTACTTGTTTTTTGCTTCCATTGAGCATTCAAGCGATACTTCCGGGTAACACGGGGTCGCTTATACGGCAACCTAAGTATATTACATTTATTGAATACTCAAGAATTTCACAATTATAGCCTATTCTCTGATATCGACTGACATTAGAGGTAAATCTTGTTGAGAAAGCAAAGCTTTCTTAAAGGTAACGCGAGTAGTAAAGGGAAACGTAAGATTTTCACCGACTCACAAATACGTAACAGCTTGATACATGTAAGTACATATGTGCGTATCTACTTATTTATTTAGCACAAATTTCCGCATACCAATATTACATTTCCAATGAAAACACATCAAAACAAGTCATCAGCTGTTATTTCTTGATTTCGATAAATTTAACCTTAAATTATATGTGTTATGTCAAATTATTCGTAGCAGAATATGAAAGTCTAAAGTCATTATTCGCTCATATTAACACCTCCAGGTAAATTTCTATGAAATTAATGAAATTTCTAAGAAATCTATTTTTAACTGTAACGCCGGCGTGTCCGCGGTCGTCGAGGGATTAATCTGGTTAGCTAAACTATTTCATTTAATGGAATATTATTGAAATAAGCAATGTCGCTCGTAACAACGCGAGTATTATAGAATATGCATAGAGATGATAAAGTTATGAGCATAACGATATATCTAATCAAAATACGGTCACGCAAGTTGTCCAGCGATGAGTTCTTGTAGCTAGTTGTTTACAAACAGTTGTTGAATCGCAAATAATAATTATGCAATGCGATGACAGCGACGCTCACGCCGTATCGCCATTTACTTTCGTTACTCAGCGTGCGTGCGCGTGCGACAAACTATCAGAGAAAGCGCTCAGGAATTTGGCCGGCCTCGTCCCTCGTCCGCGCCTCTGCCTTCCACGAACTAAATACTATTTGCAATATTTGCACCATATTACAACACTGCGATGTCCGACAATACTAAGCGCCAGTTGCAGACGCCAACGAGGTTAGCGTTGCCATTCGAAATCTCGTCTCGCTTATCAACATCTCATATCAATCATCATATGCTACTTTGTATGTAGCCGTTTTACAGCTCTCTATAAATTCAATACCTGACATTGTGACGGATGTCTCACATTAAAATACACTTTATTAGAAACGGTTCAGGGGTGAATATGGCGTGTACAATTATATCCGGAACGCTGAGGCGGCGTGTTACGGTTTCGAAAAGAATGCAGAATGTAGGTTGCGTTGCGGACTACAGTTACTAACATTCTATGGAATGCAATAAGTGATCACTATTGTTGTCATAGCAAAATCTATCTTTGCTAATATATTAACATATTCTTCTTTGGCAGTAATTTAAATGTGTAATTACTCCTTTGTATGATTCTGTACTTTAAAAGTATTAAAAAAAACCCTTCAAAGATCACTTGTATGCTGTTAGTCCGTCTATTATATATATATATATATATATGGGTGGTTCTTCAAAATTTGGTTAACTTATGGCCTAATTTTGACAAAGGTCTTTTTAGATGGTTATCAGTAAATTTCTGATTCTATACTGTGGATATAATATTTACTTTGTTGCATCTAAAAGGGCCAGTCACTTTACAATGTATTTTAAGAGAAATTCAAGTTTTTTTGAAATCAGTTATCTAGGGACTGACGAGACATGATAGGGACTGACGCCAAAGACGGTTAATGTGCTTAATCACATTTTTATAGCAAAATCACTTTAACAAAATAAAATAACTTACATATTATTATTAATTATTGTAACAAACAGTCAAAATATAAAATATTTTATATAACAAGTAGAATTGTCTTCCTACAATCTTAAATTTAGTATCATACTCAAAAATATTCAATGTACTGAAGTAGACAATCAATTTTATGTTACCTTGACGAGCTATTTTTTATATCAGTGAAACTTATTATTACCTACTTATCTCTTCAGTAAACAAAATTAATAAAATCTGAGTAAACTGAAAAGTTACAATCATAGCCTTTCTTTTATTAACTGTACTTTGAGTTTAGTACTTACAAATTAAAAATCTTTAAATAATTAACAATACTTTAAAAATTAGCTTTCCAAGTAACAAAATTATAATTTGAACGTAATAATCACTCTTTCTCTAATTAATCACAAATACTATCACATCACTATTTATTTGTTCTACTTTTCGTAAGCGACAACATGTTTCTTAAATTTGTGAAACACGGTTCCACCTTATTAGGTTAGAAACTGGCAGTTATTCTAAAACATTCTTCGTAAGGCACGTCAGCGATATCATTCTCATTTATTTGAAATTATGTGCCATTTATCAATTCAGCTTTTTGATTAGGCTCGTTAGCCATGGCTTCAATTTTACTTTTTGGTGTAAGTGCTTTCTTATTTTTCGTCATTTTACGTTTCAATCTTCTGTTTCGTGGTTCTTCTATGGTGTCATGTCCTTGACACATTTCCTTTGTCCTTTTTCTTTTTCCTTGGATATTTATGTCGTTCTTTTTCTTTGTACTC